GACATTTCTCCAGTCCGATACATTGCCTCTGATTACTGCCCTCATTTTTCTATCAGTCAGAAAATTTTTCATCCATGTTAGAAGCTTACCTGTCAACCCTCCAATATTTTCCAGTTTCCAGAACAACCTCTTATGTGGAACTCTGTCGAAAGCCTTTTTTAGGTCCAGATAGATGCAGTCAACCCAACCATCTCTTTCCTGTAATATCTCTGTTACTCGATCATAGAAACTGAGTAAATTCGATACACAGGATCTTCCAGATCGAAAACCATACTGTCTGTCTGATATTATATCATTTCTCTCCAGGTGTTCTACCCATTTAGTTTTAATTATTTTTTCCAATATTTTGACTATTACACTTGTCAATGATACAGGTCTATAATTAAGGGGGTCTTCCCTGCTTCCACTTTTGTAGATTGGAAATATGTTAGCCTTTTTCCACACATCAGCTACAACTCCTGTAAACAGGGATGTCTGAAAAATCAGTTGAAGTGGAATGCTGAGCTCAGGTGCACATTCTCTCAGAACCCATGGTGAAACTCCATCTGGACCAACTGCTTTGTTCTTATTTAGCTCCTTGAGCATTTTTTCCACTTCGTCTCTGGACACCTCTATGTGCTCTATGTTGTTCTCTGGAATTCTTATTGTATCTGGTTCCCTGAAGATTTCATTTTGTACAAACACGCTTTGGACCTTTTCGTTTAATGTTTCACACATTTCCTTTTCATTTTCTGTGAATCTATTTCTCATTTTCAACCTCTGAATATTATCCTTTACCTGCAATTTGTTTATGAATTTATAGAACAGACCTGGTTCTGTTTTACATTTGTCTGCAATCCCTTTTTAAAAATTTCTTTCTGCCTCTCTTCTCACTGCCGTATAGTTGTTTCTCGCATCTTTGTATCGCTGGTGTGTTTGGGGGTTTGGCCTCTTCCTGTATTGATTCCATTTTTATGTCTTTTGGTCTCTGGCCCTCTCGCAATGTGTGTGTGTGTGTGTAATTACCTAAGTGTAATTACCCAAGTGTAGTTACAGGATGAGAGCTACGCTCATGGTGTCCCATCTTCCCAGCACTCTTTGTCATATAACGCTTTGAAACTACTGATGGTCTTGGCCTCCACCACCTTCTCACCTAACTTGTTCCAACCGTCTACCACTCTGTTTGCGAAAGTGAATTTTCTTATATTTCTTCGGCATCTGTGTTTAGCTAGTTTAACCCTTCAATTGCACATCTTCAATTGCGCATTGCATCATATGATGCTTTGACCGACTTGCAGTAAATTGCGCATTGCATCATGTGATGCTTTGGAGTACTACGCAACATTTAAACGGCCCGCGCATACACGGGGTTCACCACACCTTCATCAGGGCTCTTGTAAACAGACGCCATTTTTAAAAAAAATCCTGGGCCAAACTCCCGGGTGTTATTGGCCTCAGTATTGAGTGAGCAACCAAGCCTGACGCACGCAACATGAACTCACAGCACTGCTGTTCAGCTTGTGACCACAGCATCGCCTAAAAATGCCTAATATACTTGTTCATGCTATTATGTAGTGATGATATTATTACAGAAGACCCCTGACTGTGATAAAACTGACCAGGGTGCTGATAATAGCAGGATTGTGGTGATATTTAGCGCTGTGTGCCATGGAGGGATGAATAATGCTGTGGGAGGGAGGGTGGTGGCGATGTCTTCTGACTGTGTGTGGCCACCTTTTATTGACTGCACTCAGCATACCAGCTTAGTGGTTCGCTATGGTGAACACAAATGTAGATACTTATATATAACGTGTGTATAGAGGGTATAAACAGCAAGAGGAGTAGGTTGGGAGCCGCCATTTTGGTGAGGGAGGAGCGTCGTTTGCAGGACTTAACATGTTGTTTACTGATGACCACGATGGTCTTTGGGCACCATACCAGTTTACTTGTACAAGTATGGTGAATAAAACAGGAAGACAACATCCAACTCGAGCCAATCCAAGGACAGCTCAGGGACGGAAAAGAAAGCAGAGCTGAAGCAAGCAGGCCATGAGTCCACAAATCTTCCGCAATCAAGGCAGTCGAGAGGGAAGGAACCTGCACGTGAAGCTGCATGACACCAACATCCCGCGGAAGGGCAGGGGCGAACAAACACGCATTAAGATGCTTGAAGTCGCCCCCCAGGAAAACCTGCAATGCCGTAGAAACCTCTCGCCACTCAAGCGCGCGGGACCGACAGAACCTGTGCCAAGCCTCCAACAAAAAGAGAGGACAGTCTGCCAACCAGGACGACCCCGGAACTTCATAATAAAACCAGCACAAACCAGGGGATTCGTACACGAAGGAACGCGGATCCATCATGAAGACTTAATCCGGGTCACGCAGGAGGTAAGCCGCCAAGGCCTTCCGCACCTCCGAAGATGAAACGCAGGAAGCTGGAAACCTCCGGAAAGACGGAACCGAAGAACCCGCGGGATCATGGAACCAAACCCAAGGAGGGGTGGACACCAAATACAATCCGTACGTGGAGGGAGTGAACGATAATCCCTCTCCTTGTAACACCAAGCCCCGCTCAGAGGGTAGAAAAACCCAGGCGGGGTCCAACGGGGCCCAAGGCCCCCAAGCCAACCCTTCCCCCAACCCCAGGAGCGTCGCCCAGAGGGCCTGGGGCCGAGCTGTCCTCCTGAACCCCCACCCCCAAAGAAAAGGTGGGAGCAGCCGAAAAAGCAGGTACACAGGGGGTCCACTGGCCAGACCCAGAAGCTCCGGCAGAAGGACCAGGCTCGAATGCCTTTGCCACCGCCCCAGAAGGGGACATCCCTGAGACCGCCCGAGTCTCATAACCAACTAAACCCAGCCCTGGCTCTGAAACCCTCAGACGTTTAGGAGCCGGCAGCAAGGGGGGAGGGGACCGAATGGACAACAGAAGGGGAAGGACTTGGAGGGGCGGACAGAACCAGAGCCGAAGCGACTCCCACCCCCAAGTCCGGGTCCCTATAACCAAAACGGGGCAGTCTCGGGGCATCCGGGGCAGCAACCAACCGAGCGCGTTGCAGCAACCTAAAGCGAGCATGCAATGCCTCAGCTGCCCTCACCCGCATATCGGGCACAGTAGCCTGGGTGAATTGGAGTATGTACAGGCAACACACGTCGCACGACTGCGGGTCAAAACAATCACTGACCCAACAGGCAGTATGGCGGAGGCAAAACCGGTGAGTGTCCCCCCGAGACAAGTGGACAGAGCAACCCTCAAACTCGCAGGATGCGAGGGGGGGACTCAGGGGTCAAATCCATCGGTTTTCCAGGGCCCTTAGCCTTGGTACCATGCTAAGGAAAGTCCAGGCAGGGTACTGCGAACTAGCACCCAAAACTACCAAACAAACTGCTATAGCCGAGCCCCCGGGATGTGTACACTCACGGAGGCCAAGTGGGGAGGACCACCAACACAAAATGGAGGAATAAAGATATAGATATACCCCAAGAACAGCGATGGGGGGACCAACAGGCAGACCCCCCCACCAGACAGAAAACAAAAACAAAAGAAAAACCCCGCAAGAGGACAACGTGCCCAGGCGGAACAGAGCCGGCCGCTGTTAATGGTGAAAACTAGCTGTGCAGTACCCCGCGCCCCTACCAGTGACGAAAACTACCCCCTGCCCAGAGACAAACATGGGCAAGGAAAAAAACCCAGATGACCCCAAGAGCGGCTAAGTACCGAGCAGTACACGGCACAGCGGAGGTAGACCCCAAGGTGATCCAGGGAAGGTGGCCCTAAGCCCCAAGAGCAGTACTTACAGGGGACCTAGGGAAGGTGACCCTAGGTGCATGCAGCTTGAGCACCGTGGAACATCACTCCTGGCCCACACACCACCGGAAGGGACAGCTCACACCACACGGCACAGAACTGCAACGGAAAACTGGAGGCAGAGGCACAACCGCACCAGATCCCATCAGCCTAAGAACTAATGGTTGGGTCACCGACGGTGGGGTCTGGAGCTCCCCCCTTCCCCCTCCCGGGGAAGGGAGGGGGGGGGGGTTGTGCAGACAACGGCGTGGGGACATGATGACGTCATACTTGTTTGCTAATTTTCGTTTGGGGATTTCTGTCCACCTGTTCAGTCTTCGGTCGCCATAGTTTTCCAGAATAGGGGTTTGTTTTGGGGCGCCTACCTTTCTGGGTGCCTGTCCCTGTCAATGGCAGACATAGAATGCTCCCAATCATAAGGGGGGTCTCATAAGGCCATTGCTACTTGTGCCTCTCTAGAGGGGGCCAGGTTCTGGCTCGTGGTCCCCGGTAGGCAAGAACTCCATGCATTGACTGATGCCAGAAAGTTATACATATCCATTCAGCCTGGATAGCTCTGGGGAGACCCCCAGAAAGTGGCAGTTAACTTAAAATTAAAACTTGTTGCACAGGTAAAACTAAATATAACAGGGTTCCTGACCAACACAAGACACCAAGTCTACAAAGCGATCCAACCATTAGTATGTTTAGACGGTTATGCAACCATTAGTATGTTTAGACGGTTATACATCTTCAAGAGGAAACAACTAGATAGTTTCCTCCAAGGAGTGCCGGACCAACAGGGCTGTGGTGGGTATGTGGGCCTTAGGGCCACTCCAAGCAACAGCCTAGTGGACCAAACTCTCACAAGTCAAGCCTGGCCCTCAAGCCTGGCCTCGGGCCAGGCTTGGGGAGTAGAAGATCTCCCAGAACCCCATCAACCAGGTATCAACCAACAAGTCAACCCAGTGATGGTTGCGTGACTAGGTGGGGAGAAGGCACCACTTAAGTTCAGAAACACGTCTGAAGATGAGCTTGATCCCTCTGTACATACATTATGGAGACTCTCAGAAACAAGTGTTTCATCTACACCAACCCTATTTTTTTCACCCTTTCTCTCTTCATCCTTCCTGCCTCATTCTTCTCTCTCTCTCATGCAACATCAGTCACCAATACAACAATATTGAAGTATTGAGCTGTAATGAGGTGAGAATAAAATAAAAGTGTAACCTCTCACCTGTTCCCACAAAGGGATCAACGACTACTTCTCCAGGCTGAACTTGGGCATAGTTTGCCATGATAAAAGACAGTTGTGCATCCATCGATGTACTGCCAATATACGTTCTTCTCTTCAGTGAATACTTATCGATCAGCTCACGCTGGCCCTCTGCCACCCATCGTCCAAGAAATATCTAACAGAGAATAGCAAAGGTAAGATACAGAGTTATTAACCCTTGAATGGCACCTGGCTATTTAGCATGTGTCACCCACAGGCGAATACCCCCCCCAAAAAAAAAAAATATATATTTTTTCTTCTAAACCTGTTAATTTGTATTCACTGATCATGGGAAAAATAATATAAAACCAGCGTTGAATGTAATGAAACGCCATTTTCTGGGTGAGCCCCAGAGGCTCCCTGGAGTTTATCGAGCTAATGTATGTTATATTAGACCGGGACATTAGCTAAGGAGTTCAGACCTACCAGGGACCAGTGCCAGAACCTGGCCCCTTCAGAGAGGTTTCAGGGAGCAATGGCCTGGAAAACACCCTTGCGGTTGGGGTTTTCCTTATCTGCCATCGACCGGGGTTAGGCACCCAGAAAGGTAGGCATAACAAAACAAACCCCACATGGTAAAAAACTAAAACAAAAAAATGAACAGAAAGGTAGAAACTCCTACAATCCCAAGGAAACAAGCAAACATCACACTTTACTGCCGCGCCGATCGTCCGCGTAGCCCTCCGCACCCCGAGAGAGGAAGGGGGAGCCCAGGACCTACCACGCCGGCTGCCTAGCTTCAGTTCGGAAGCTAAGCTTCAACCAACGTGAAAAACCTCCGACCGGTGGGAGGGAGGGTTGCCAGGGGGCCTCCGGAGCTCACCCAGAAAATGGTATTTCATTACATTCAACACTGGTTTTCTGTGGGGAGCCCCTACGGCTCCCTGGAGCTTCATACCCAATGAGAAGGAAAAGAAAGGGCTAACCCAGGAGGCGACCGCCACAAACTCCGCAACGCGAAGCCGAGACAACAGGCTGCAACCTGCAACCCAAGGCAACAAGATCGCACAGGAGCAGACGCGCATAAAGAAAGAACCTGTGCGACCCTCAAATCCCTGCGCCCGAAATGAGCCCTAGACGTCACCAACACAGCAGCAAAAGCTGCAAACGTCCGAACAGCAAGGGTGCAAGGACAGATCAGAAGGCTGGAAGACTGAAAAACTCTGCGGACGACCTGGGAGACCCGAGCCCTGAAACAGGGAACGAGGGGAACCGGATCAACCCAAAGCGCATCCCCAGACACGGTACGCAGGTAATGGCAAAAAGAGCAACTGGACAACACAGGACGCACCCCCGGCCAAACCAATCAAGCATCAATAACCCAAGAACCCCTCCGGAAAGCAGCCGTCTCGACTGTCTCCAGGACGGAGAAAGGCTGCAAACGTACAAACCTACCACCAGTACCAAAGAGCAGAAACCTGAACCGAAGGGGCTACCACAACCTTTGGAGAAGATAAGAAGGCACCCTGATCAAGGACCAGTATGGCTCAGGCGACGCATGAGCAGGCCGGAGGTGAAACAAAACACGAGAAAGCGTACGAAACGGGACAGATGTGATGTCCACCCTGAACGCAAGCCTGAGCAGCTCCGCCAGCGCCGCACAAAACGAGGCGACAGTAAGAAACATCAAATAACTGTAGTCCTGAAAACACAAGGAACGACAAAACAACCGATGCGAAAGGGAAGACAACCTACGAAGAGCAAGAAAAGGTGCATAGAAACACCAGGAACGTCATACTGTCGCCTAGACGAAGCTCGCAGGTGGGACACCGTCAACAAAGCCACCTGATCACCACAGAAATGGTGATACCCGCGTCAAAATACCAGACACGAAGAGCTGAGGAGAAGGCTGAACCAGTCACGTACAGGACCGATTCGACCTGCCAAAAGAGGCGGAGCCGCGGGAAAACGCACCGGGTTCGGACACCTATCAAGCAGCGTCTGAAAATAAGGCTGGACCGGCCACCAAGGAACCATAAGGACTACTCTCGTGGGAATGGGCTGCAACTGAGCCAGAACCCGAAGCAACAGGTGGACCGGGAGAAGAGGAACAGGTACCCCCACCTCGACCAGTACTGCTGAAAAGCATCCACCGTGAATGCCTCGCAGGTGGGTAATGGCGCCACACAAAATGGGTGATGCCTAGACTACGCCGACTCGGAGACATCCACGGCCAGGAGTCCATACGTCCGACAGAGCCAACAAAACAAGTCGGCAACAACTGGCCAATCCGCGAAGAGAGGAATGAACCGAGACAGCTGTCCGCCAGAACGCAGGACACACCCCGGACATGAACCTCACGGTTAGCCAAACCCCTGTGGTTCCGGCAAGAACCGCCAGAGAACAGTCCCTGAAAGGTAGACAGAGAGACCCAAACTCTCCGAACAGCAAACCAGACAGCCACGAACTCCCGAACCGTGCTGTGAGCCCGACAGATGGACAGACTCAACCATCCTCGGCCGACCTGGTGAGCACTGGTCACAAAGCCCCAGCCGAGAGATGACCCGTCCGTGAACACATCGAGCGAAGGCTCGGGGAGGTGCCAAGGCACGGAACCCCGAAAACCCCAAAGAGGAAGCTGGTGACGCAGCACCAACACAAGATCCCCGGAGGAACGAACCCAACGAATGCAAGAGGTGGAAGGGGAGTCTCCGAAGAAACCAAACAGACGCCGAAGTCAAACCTGAGTCAGCGGGCAGACCAGCACGTCGAAGTTCAGACTCCCGCACAACTGCTCAAGCAACCGCTGAGTAACCCGGGACCCCCTCATGTACAGCCGAAGGCGGGACCACAGCCACAGTAACACTTCTGGAGGGAAAGACAATGAGTGGCCCAATAGCCCTAAACAAGGCCCAGGTCCGAACCCGGGACGAAACAGATGGAATGGCCTCCAGATCACCAGGAAACCAAACCCGGTGATCTGGAAAGAACCACACCCCTGGCGAGCAGACAAGCGGACTAACTGGGAGCCCACACCAGCCAGTTGTCGAGGTAGGCCAGACACCGAATCTCAGACTCAGACAGGGCACTAAGATCCGGTAAAGATGCAAAAAATATACCCAGTGCCCATTACAAAATAGGGAAGGCAACAAAAGCAGCAAGCCTGAAGCCCCACCACCAACTGTGCCAGTCCCAGAAAACTGAAGAGGAACGTGCCAAGAAGTGACTTGGAGGTCCAGGGCCACCATCCAGGCACCCGTCCCCAACAGAAGCCGGACAGGAGACAACAGTCCTCCGATGAGGGTATAGAATCCAGGGCGCAGACTGAAGAAGTCCAGAAGAACTGCAGATGCGAAAGGCCCATGACTGCAAGAGCAGACGGGAACCCCAGAAGGAGGGGCGGATCGACCACGTCCAACGCACCCACTAAGATGACATGACGAAGCGCAGGGGAAGAAGCCCACCCCGCCAGCTCTGAACCCCCCAAAGGGGAAGAAGCCGTCTACCGACGCCACCAGAGGCCGGAAGACAACCAAAAGCGCCCACCAACAGCGGGACCATGCGAGAGTCAACAGAGCAAGCTGCTCCCCCAGCGCCCCGTCAACAGAGAAGGGAACAGAACCCCTTCCCAAAAGAAAAAGTACACACACATATACACATTATGTATATACACATACATATACACAAACACACAAGATATGTTGGAATAAAGTATGCACATGCGTTATAAGCTGGAAGAAAATAAGGAGGTTGAAGCAGTTGAAAAACCAGACTTCAGGAGAGGACATTATGGTGACCTTAGAAATTTTTTTAGTGAGTATAATTGGACAGACTTGATGCTAGGCAAGGAAGTGAATGAGATGTATGGCAAGTTTTGTGAAATATATGATAAAGGCACAAAAAAATTTATACCAAAACAGAGATGCAGAACTAGGAAACAGGATTGGTTCAATAGAAATTGCGAGAGGGCTAGAGACCGAAAGACACAAAAATGGAATCAATACAGGAAGAGGCCGAACCCCCAAACATACCAGCGATACAAAGATGCGAGAAACAACTACACGGCAGTGAGGAGAGAGGCAGAAAGAAATTTTGAAAAAGGGATTGCGGACAAATGTAAAACAGAACCAGGTCTATTCTATAAATTCATAAACAACAAATTGCAGGTAAAGGATAATATTCAGAGGTTGAAAATGGGAAATAGATTCACGGAAGATGAAAAGGAAATGTGTGAAACACTAAACGAAAAGTTCCAAAGTGTGTTTGTACAAAATGAAATCTTTAGGGAACCAGATACAATAAGAATTCCAGAGAACAACATAGAACACATAGAGGTGTCTAGAGACGAAGTGGAAAAAATGCTCAAGGAGCTCGGTAAGAACAAAGCAGCTGGCCCAGATGGCGTTTCACCATGGGTTCTGAGAGAATGTGCATCTGAGCTCAGCATTCCACTTCACCTGATCTTTCAGGCATCCCTGTGTACAGGAATCGTAGCAGACGTGTGGAAACAGGCTAACATAGTTCCAATCTACAAAAGTGGCAGCAGGGAAGACCCCCTCAATTATAGACCTGTATCATTGACAAGTGTAATAGTGAAAGTATTGGAAAAACTAATCAAAACTAAATGGGTAGAACACCTAGAGAGAAATGATATAATATCAGACAGACAGTATGGTTTTCGATCTGGAAGATCCTGTGTATCGAATTTACTCAGTTTCTATGATCGAGCCACAGAGATATTACAGGAAAGAGATGGTTGGGTTGACTGCATCTATCTGGACCTAAAAAAGGCTTTCGACAGAGTTCCACATAAGAGGTTGTTCTGGAAACTGGAAAATATTGGAGGGGTGACAGGTAAGCTTCTATCATGGATGAAAAATTTTCTGACTGATAGAAAAATGAGGGCAGTAATCAGAGGCAATGTATCAGAATGGAGAAATGTCACAAGTGGAGTACCACAGGGTTCAGTTCTTGCACCAGTGATGTTTATTGTGTACATAAATGATCTACCAGTTGGTATACAGAATTATATGAACATGTTTGCTGATGATGCTAAGATAATAGGAAGGATAAGAAATTTAGATGACTGTCATGCCCTTCAAAAAGACCTGGACAAAATAAGTATATGGAGCACCACTTGGCAAATGGAATTTAATGTTAATAAATGTCATGTTATGGAATGTGGAATAGGAGAAC